TTTTTTTTTTTTTTTTTTTTTTTTTTTTTTTTGGCTGGGACCTTCTTTGGCCTTTGCAAGGCCGGGCCACCCGGGCAAACAACATGACCCGGGCGACCCGGCTGGTAGCCTACCGGTAGTTTGAAATCAAACTGCCAAAATCAAATCTGTTCTGACCCCTGAGGTCCATTTGCTTGATGATGCTGCATGTCACAAAATTTGAAATGCGTGCTCTGTGGCGTTTGAATTGGAAAGAAAAGGAAAGTCCCAGTAGCAAAAAGCTCAGATAATCTGCTACCTGCCCAGCTTAGTCGACGCGGCAGCCACAACAGTGTAGTCTTTCTTTTTTGGGGGAGGGCGCTGGCGCCACCAGCCATTTTAGACCGGTAGCACTGCTCACCCGAAGGATGCCGTTTGTCGCTAATCGGTGTTTTAGATTTGCCTGTGAAAGGTAGTGGTGTTTAGAGCATAAACTTTCCTTTCTAGTGTCATACTTTCTCGATCATTGGGGCCCATTGTGATCACCATGCTACATACTGTCTTCACCTGAATGCTACAACCAGTTTATTATCACTGATCCAGACTGAAAGATGCCCCAAATGCAGCTATAATGACGGGGCATTCTAGTCAGGCAATTACAGTCACTCAAACGGTAGCAATGAGGGAGCAACTCGTGTCGTTTGCCACTTACTTTGCAATAAAACCTGTCTGCTTTAGAGATAGAGAGCTCATGAAATCCCAGGCTCATTACTTCAATCTCAAACATCCTTTTACCCATTTCGGCCCGAGATTCCATCAATGCTACTTTCTTTTTTTTTTTTTCTTTTTTTTTTTTTTTTGCGAGAATAGCCCTTGTGATATCCCTCTATCCTACCGTCTTCCCAGCCGTAAATAGAACGTATGGTCTTTACGGCTGTATCTAGAAAGTTGCCAAACATGCAGCTATAATGACCGTACATTCTATTTGGGGGAAGACTCGAGGATTCACCACAGTGCAGAAGTCTGATTTCTCCTCATATGGGGAACAGCTGTGTTTTTGCGATCCTATATTCTTCTCTCAATATACCTCTCACTACCTACGGTAGCCACATGTTCCAAATGTTTTACTTATTTTTTCCCCTTACCTCGTACCAGCCTTAAGTTCACTACCAGAGCCTAAACTATTGTAGGGTTATGGGTCTAAGCCCACCTATCTCTGCTCACGGCAGGAAACAGTACCCAACCTCCTAACACCTGGTGTGGGAAAGAAAGACCAGTCACCACTTCGACAACCAGGCAGGAGGATCAAGCCGACTATCTCAATCGGTATGGCCGAAGTATACCACACAGGAGGCCGCGAGCGCAGTGTGTTCTGTTCTTTTCAGCCTCTTTTACGTCCTCATGATACCCACAGCCACTTCTAAATAGTGTGAGTCTAGGTCAGGCGGACTACAAAGTGCTCGAGAGATCGTCGTTACGCTTGTAATAACCATAACAAGACCACGAAAAGAGAGGACATATCCTTTGATTTTCCCACAAACATACCACAACAAATGAGCAGCGATCTTCCCTCGGGACATCCGTTAAAACTGGAGAGATACACAGAAGATTGGCATGGCCCCTGTGCAGGGGTAGCCTACAAGATGGCATCCCCACAGCCACTTCTAGCCAGTTTGAGTCCAGGTCAAGGTGACTACAAAGTGCTTGAGAGATCATCGTTATTACTCTTATAATAACCATAACAAGACCACAAAGGGAGAGGAGGAGGAGATATCCTTTGATTTTCACACAAACATACCACATACAAGCGACCAGAAGTCGTCCCTCGGAACATCCGTTAAAATTGGAACGAGATAGAGAAAGATTAGCATGCCCCCTGCACAAGGGATGACACGCATAAATCGAGAAATGGTCCTACCCAAAAAAAAAAAAAAAAAAAAAAAAAAAAAAAAAAAAGAGCAGAACAGTCAGACACTTGTATGAAAGCTGTTCAGCAAGAGTTTTCCGAGAACGGAATACGGAGGGGTAACCCTTCCATTCACGCTGGACCCGTTTTCCAGCAGGTGATGCTCCCCACCAATAGCTGCCGCCTCTCCCCAGGTGCTAGCGGTGTCTTCTCTAAACAGCACCCCCAATAGCACTGGAGGGCGCGTTTCTTAAAAAAAAAAAAAAAACTTCTATCATACTTGCGGCGCAGTTCTGTGGTGCGCCGTGCGGTGCGCATGCGCC